GAATCCATACGCACCTACTCAGCATTGACAGGGAAGCAAGCGCATGATTGCGGCCGGTTAGATCCATCTGTTTTCTTTGTCTTCTTTTGAAATATTCCTGGATTGTATTCATACACCAATTACACCTCTGAAGACACTCAATTAATAATAATAATAATAATAATCCTTGCATTTGATATAGCGCTTTTCACGTCGAGAGGACGTCCCAAAGCGCTTCACAGAACACACTGTAAAGTGAATTGACTGTATATTTGTGGGCGAACGCGGCAGCCAATTGCGCACAGCAATGTCCCACAAACAGTCGTAGATTGAAAATGACCAATTTATTATTGTTTTGGGTTTTGGAGGGATTATTATTAGGCTCTGTGTGGAGTAAGGAAACTTGCCCAAGGTTTCGCCCTCTGCCTGGAATTGAACTCAGGTCTCTCGCTTGCAAAGCGAGTGCTCTAACCACTGAGCTACAGGACTCAATACAGAATATTGGCTACAGAGCCAATTATAATGGAATCCAGATGAGTGGCACTGTGGAAAGGACGCACCCTTTCCTAAGAAAGAGCTTCCCAAAACAACATTGTTCTTTGTCATTCTGTGCAACTTTTGCGGTTGTGTCCCAATAATTCGCGGGAATGCTGGTCCACATCCAACTATCGATATCTGTGGCTTCTGCAGCTGATGTGTCGTGTATTCACTGGGTGCCTCCCTGTGACACCTCCTTCTCCCCAGGCAATAGCACCTTTGACTATTATTGCCCTCTTTCCCCCTCCCCATCCCTTCTTCACAAACCTCAACCCACACCACCCACCTCAACCTATTTCTCCGCCCATTGTTACAGGGCCAATGCCTCTCATGTTTCATGCCACTGAATTATTTCAAACACTTTCCTCTCCTTGATATACAGCACCTTATCATGTTGATGAGATGTCTCAAAGCGCTTCTCAGAATATACTGTAATATGGATTGACTGTGTATTTTGTGGGTGAAATGCGGCAGCCAATTACGCACAGCAATGTCCTACAAACAGCCATGGAGTTGGCCAGGTAGACTGGGAGAGAGAAACTCCCTTCTCTTTTCAAATGATGCCATGGGATCTTTAACATCCACCTCTGGACAGGCAAATGGGTCCTTCATCTCATCTCAAATGGGTCCTTCATCTCATCCGAAGGACGACACCTCTTACAATACAACACCCCCACAGCGTTGCATTGGAGCGACAGCTTAAATTAAGTGATTCCGAGTCCCTTGGGGCTTGAACCCACAAACTTCTGGCGAAAGCAAAAGCTGAGCCAAGCCGACACCCAAACCGTTACCCCCAGAAAGCGATCCGTCAATCGAAAACAAAGGGGTGTAGAGTAAGGAAACTCGCCTAAGGTTTTGCCCCGTCTGGGGAAACGAACCCGGGTCCTCTCGCTTACGAGGCAATCCTGGTACACTTACAGACTCCTAAGTGGAACAGGAGTCCAAAGCAGTCAGAGGAGAAGGAAAAGAAGAGTTGATCGAAGGTGCGTTCAAAGAGTTTAAGGATCTCTCACGAGCAGTGACGATTACCCACAGTTTAGCAAACATGCTGTTATGTTACCCTTTGCTCCACACAAGTGAATTGATCCACCCATGTAGTGGCTCTTACGCAACTGCACAGAAAACTCCACAGGCTCAACAGAAGCTTGTGATGTATGTACAGGGAAGTTGTGGTTAGTCTAGGAATGTTGTCTGACATATCCTAGCTTCACTCTGTTTGCCCCGGAGAAATTTCACAAATTCAAACCTCACAGCTCATCACTGCTTCTCTCCATAAGACATCACCTTCTGCTTGAACGAGGTATGGTTCAGCCCATTTAGCTTCGCATGCAACTGTGAGGGTGTGGCTGCTTTACTGGATACGCTTTACAGACAATGTTTAAATGATTGTTTGGTCTGCAGACAACCTCAAAATAATAGTTCGAAGCCAAATGTCTGACAACATGATGAAAGGTTGTTAACATGCAAAGTAAAATCTCTGCAGAAAACTACAACAGGTAGTTACCGGGCACATGCTAAACCAGTGGGGCCAACTCATGGCCGGAAGTGGGTCACAAGGCCATCAAGAAGGCCCACTCTCCGTACATCTGATAATCATTACATTTGACATAGCGTCCACTCTGTCAAAACGTTTCCAAAGTAAGACATTTAGGTTTGGGACATTTTTCAATATCACACTCTCGTAGTGACTGTCTGTATCATTTGCAATCAATTTGTCTTGCAAACAGCCATGAAGTGATTGAGTGATTGTGTGAGTAAGTGAGGGAATGAGTAAGGGATGGAATGAATGAGGGATTGAGTGAGTGAGGGATTGAGTGAGTGAGTGAGTGAATGAGGAGCTGAGTTAGTTAGTGAGTGAGTGGATACATGTGTGATTGAATGAGTGAGCGAGCCACTTACCTGGAGGATTGGCAGCCAGGACACCGGGAATTGAACCCAGGTCTCTCACTTACAAAGCGAGTACTTTAACCACTGACTCCACACAAGACTGTGATCTTAAAATCTTTGTATGTGGGATTTGATTCCTCCAACCTTCTAACCCAGCAGGGATTATCACCAATTGGGCACAATTGACACAATCTGTTGTCAATGCTCTAAATCAAGCTTCATGTGTTTTTTTGAGCTCACGCTCAAAGGACGAAACAGTCAACTGCAGCATGTCTATGCACTGCACATGATAGGGAGGGTTGGGCGAGAGGTATTAAAGAGGTGAAACATTACACAGCTCTGTTTACAGAAGACCTTTTGTGCTACGGACGTCACAGGAGAAACAAGGTTTAAAGCAACATAGGCACCAATGGGTCTGAGTTCCTTGTGTGCCAAGAGACAAAGCAGCCCACACAGCTGCTGCCCTTGAGTGTGCTGATTGTATCATTAAAATGTTTGAAATCACATCAGCTGAGGTTCGAACTGACAAAAAGGGAGATCGTTTTGTCCTAAAAAAAAGTGAAGCAAGCAGTGTGCTTGAACATTCCTCAATTCGGACTTAATTTAGAAATCTGGATTAAGAATTTAAGAATTTGCCAGGTGAAAGAAGACAGCACCATCCTGGCAGTTGCATGATATGTCGTGTCCCAAACTATATACTGTATCCCGAAATATTATTTTCTAGCAGAAATCTATCTGATTTGTTCTTGAAACAAATGACATTTTCTGCTTCCGGTCTGTCTCCCTAGGGAGCCTGGTTCATAAGTTTACTACTCACTCACTGAAGTAGTGCTTCCACAGATTTGTTCTGAATTTACCCCACTTCAACCATAGACCATGTCCTCTGGTTCTACTGTTCAGTACGTCCGTAGTGCAAAAGGTCTTCTGTAAACAGAGCTGTGTAAGTAAAATAAAACAGCTTATCATGGTCTACATTATCTAGTCCCTTCAGAATCTTAAAGACTGTAATTATATTGACCCTCAACCTTCTCTTCTTCAGTGTGAACATGGCCAGGTGGAATTTCAGGACTCCACAGCTGAGTGGAGTGCTAAACGATGAGGTATAATGTGAGTGAAATTAATCCTTCACTTAAAGACTGCGTGTGGGACATTGCCGTGTGCAAATTAGCTTCACAGATATCCTGTGAAACACTTTGAGATGTCCTCCTGACGTAAAATGTGCTCTATCAACGTGAAGATTATTATTATTTTAACAGGGAGTTGAATCCCCGGCTCAATGGGGACAAACGATGTGCTTGGAGTCTGTCGGTGTCTGTTGACACATTACCATACCTCACCTCCCCATTCACCACCTGGATTCTTATCCTGCAATCCACCTGATCTCTGTGTTCTCAACCTGTCGGCTGGTGTTACTGTCATGGCTCATCTTTCATCTGACGTTCTCTATTTATGGAGTCCTGTAGCTCAGTGGTTAGAGTGCTCGCGTTGCAAGCGAGAGGACCTAGGTTTGATTCCAGGGCAGGATGAAATGTTAAGCAAGTTTCCTTACTCCACACGCCTCTGTTTACCTAGCAGTAAGCAGTAACCCAGTTGTTAAGACGATTGGTGGATCATTTTTTGAGTATCTGGGAGTAATAATCCCTTTGATTTTTAAAAAAAAATTATTTGGTCAAGGGATTTGTTGGCCAAGACACTGGGAGAGACTAACTTTTTGAATAGTGCTGATTTGTCCCCCCTACCTTACCCAGGGATACAGAGGTCAATAGTAACCTTCAGCTGAACTCAACCCCAACCAGGATTCAAGCCTACAACATTCTGGTCAGCGTAGTCCAGTAGAAACAATAGGAAGGCCACACAGCCCAGCCTGTTTCTGCACTTTCCCTGATCATGGCAGATCTTTCAACTCCATTCCCCCCCCTCCCCCCAACATTCCTCCACAGCCTTTCCGTCCCGTCTTAATTTAGAAGCTGGCTCCAAATCACCCCCATCCTCGCCCGCCTTCACTGGCTTCTCATTCCTCAGAGGATCGAGTTTTGAATCTTTGCCCACCACTTTTAAAGCCCTCCACCCTGCCTCCGTGACCTCCTAAAACTCTTACCAACCTGTCCGCTCTTTCCGCTCGGGGGCACTGGCCTGCTTCACGTCCCTTGCCCTGCCCACTCCACCATCAGAGGTTGGACCTTTAGCCTTGCTTGAATGCCATCCCAGAGGTCCGCTGCCTCACCCCTCCCTTGCCTCCTTCAAAATCTTCCTCCTTGACCGCTCCTCCTATCATCTTCCCCTCGCCACCCTTCTTGGCCTCCACCCCTTCTTAACTCCAGCCCGCAGCTTGGGTGCAAGCCCTTGACTACCCAGTGCCTTGGGACGTCCTCCTGACATAAAAAGGCGCTGTTGGCTTGTTGGATGGCGGGAAAACAGCTTTCGAATTAAAAAGTCTTCCCCACCCCTGCGCCAAACAGGCTTTAAGACTAAGGCTAGGCGGAACTCGGGGCTCGAGGCTTGCAGTTTTAATTTAGATCAAATTAAATTTAAACCCCCCCCCCCAAAAAAAAAAACAACCACCCCCACCAAAGGGAAAACAGCACACAAATGTAACATTCTTGAGAATTTCTATATTTATTAAGCGATCACTTTACAGTAAAGTGAGAAATTCATTCAGTTGATATAATGAGGTTGCAACCCGTTCTACTTACCATTGCCACCCCACCCCAGCCCCGTAATGAAAAGACACATGAGCAGAATATTGCATAGCACCAGACAGTTTTAAAAATTCCTTAGATTTTTCGTTCAGGTTCCAGTTTTGCGCTTCTTTTTCTCTTTCTCTCTCTCTCTCTCTCTCTCTCTCTCAGTTCTTTTGCTTTTCTTCGAATTGCTCCACTTCACTCTTCTGATCGAGAACATTTCCGTGTTCGTCCTCCATCACTGTGATGACGGTGACAGTTTTCCTGATTCTGATATCCGCTGTCAGAGAGACAAACACACAAGCAAATGTGGTGAAGGCCGTCTTTTTTGTTGTTGCTCATAATCAACCCTCGATTTTATTTATTTATTAAACGGTGAAACAACAAAACGACCACCCGACCAACCGCCACCAACCACGAGATCCACAAGAAACAGAGAGTAAGAGAAGGGAAGAAATCCACTCTCTGTTTGGGATTTCACCAGATCGGGTTTGGATGAAGAAGGTCCTTCGGCCCATTTGATCTCAGCCCTCCAGAACACCCATCTCCCACCCCGCCCCACCCATCACGGCTTTTTAAATGCGTCTCAGTGTCCTGACCTCAACCACCCTTCCTGGCAACCCTATTCCAGTGGTCGATTCATATTGATAATCCTTGCATTCAATATAGCACCTTATCGAGACATCTCAAAGTGCTTCGCAGGATATACTGTAAAGTGGAGTGACTGTGTTTGGTGGGCGAAACGCAGCAGCCAGGTTGCATGCAGCAGTGTCCCACAAACAGCGATGGAGTGAATATTACATTCTGGGTAAACTTCCTGGTGTCCATCCTGAAATTGCCCCCTTTGCAACCCCCAACCCTGCACCCTATTGTTCACATCAGCAAGTATTGTATTGGGTGCCCTTCCTCCTGAAGCATCTCTGTTCAAGGCTGAAGAGCTCGAACTTGCCTACCTGTTGTCCACAGCTAATCCCTCTAACACTGGGGATCATCCTCTGTTACTCTGGGAACCTCCCCGCTTACGTCACAGTGACCAGAACCCAAATGTAGTGAAATGACAACAACCACATATTGGGAAGACGTCCCAAGACCCTGGACGGTCAGGGATTTGGACCCGAGCTTGGGGTCGGGATCAGGGGAGGGGTGAAGGGCGGGGAGGGTAGGGGTAGGAGGGTGACCAAAGGCACAGTCAAAGAGGAGGGTCTTGAAACAGGCCTTGAAGAACGCAGGTTGGAGGCGAGGCGGAGGGACTGTGGCATGGAGTTCCAAAGGGTTTGACCATGTTTGCCCCCGTTGCACTGTAGAGCATTGAGGCTTCCAGCTTTATTTACTCTGCCAGCAAATACTTACAGGGAGGTGGTGTGGGCTCGCGAGGAGGAGGTGGTGGCACAGCTGTCTTCACAGTTTCTCTGAAACTGAAGAAAAGAAGAGACCATTTGCAGTTAGTTCACCGATTGTGCGATTCCGACCAGACAGACAAGATCCCTGCCACCTGCCCCTGCTCGGCCAGATCTGTGAAAACACTCCCTTTCCCTCTGAACGCGAGGCGATCTGTCAACACCAAAGCGGATTGCGTAGCCTAAACCTTTCTGATGATCTGTGTAATGAATGTGAACGCATTGGGTCTCGAGTTCATGGTCTCTGGGAACGCCTCCCAGCGCGAAGGGCGCTATATAAACGCGAGTTGTTGGTGTCGATCTCACTAAAAATACAACAGTGCAGGATTCTGATCGGTTTCAGGGTTTGCGTCCGACTTTCCAGGCTTTGGACAAGCCCGCGTACCTCACTGATTGACAAGCCAGTCAGACTGATCAGCAATCAGCTGTTGGTCCCTTGGCTCACTGAGGTGCCGCCTAGTTAGACGTCAGGATTCCGCAACGTGCTGGTATGCGCGCAATGGTTGGAATGCTTGAGCTACGAGCAAGAGCGCAATCTGGAGCAGGAGTTCACGGTGGCCTTGGGGCAGATTAGCTTATGTGACTGTTCACACACGTTCACACTGCAGACAACCATCTTTCGCATTCCCAAGGTGACAGACGACTGAAATCGGAAACCAAATGTAACATGCCTTGTTCGACTAGCTCACTCTCACGTCATCGGTGATAACAACCAAACAGCGGGATCTCTGCTGAGTGAGTCTCGGGTACATCAGTAATAAGGGATGGGTCGTTCAATCCAATAAAGGTTGTCTCTCTTATGCACGGATTCTTACATCACTTGCTTGGATTGTGACCCATCCCAGTGCTTTCACCAACTACTTGCATTTGTGTAAGGCTCAGGCCGATGTCTTAGAGCGCTTGACAGTGGCGGAGCACAATGCCGAGCCAAAGGGAGGGGAGAGGAAGGGAGGTGACCGTAATTAAGTGACAGAGAGGAAGGTCTTCAGGCGCGACCTGAAGATGGGGAAGGAGGGGGTGAGGTGGAGGGTTTGAGAGTGTTCCAGAGTTACGGGGCGCAGTGGCTGAAAGTGTGCCCGTCGATGGTGGAACGGAGGGCACGAGGGACAAACAGGTTTCACCTCCGCCACCAAGCTCCGTAGAGTATTCCAAGCACTGATTGCTCTGTGAGTAGAATCACAGAGCTTCAGAGCCCGGACAGAGGCCAGTCAGCACACTGGGTCTATGCTGTATGTTGACAAGTGGTCTATATATACAGCATAGACACAGGAGCACCTTGTACTGGGACCGTTTGGTCCCACTCACATCTCTTTATAGTTTGCTTTTATAAAATATCTAGCTGATTCTCCTTTAAAAGCTATGATGGATTTTGCTTTAACCACGGTTATTTTGGTAGGTTCTGTCCGCCCAACAAAAATCTCCTAACTTCTCTCTCTGAGTAAAGAGGTGTTTTACCTGTTATTTGCTCTTAATGTACTTTTCAATCTTTAGCGATGCTTAGGCGAAGCACGTGTAAACATTGAGGCTGAGCGAACTATGTGCAAACACAATCATTCTGTGTAATTGTCCAGTTGCAAACCATGTGTAAACACAGGTGGGTGGGGCTGTGTACAGAGAAACTTACAGGTGCCCTTGACATTGAAACGTTTCCACAAAGCACGTGATAGCCTGTGCTTTAAAAAGCAACTCCCTGAAAGAAATCAGGTACCTGGTTTCTCCTCCCAGCAGGCGCCGGTATTCAGCGATCTCGGCTTCCAGAGTTAGTTTGGTTTTCAGGAGCACCTCGTATTCTCTCCTCTGGTTCATGATGTCGCTGTTCACCTGGTTGAGGTCCCCCTCCAGCTTGGAGACGACCATCAGGATCTTCTGCAGCTGCGTCCCGTACCTCTGCTCAGTTTCCACCACGATATTTTCCAGTCCCATGTTCTGGAAGGAACAGACACACACAACACCCAGGTGGTCAAGATTATAATTATAAGAACATAAGAAATGCTCAACGAAAAAAAAGACCAAGGTCCATCTAGTTCACTCCTTCCAACTTCCTGGCGGTCGCAAGCACATATATCCGGAACTACCTATTGTACTATATCTCATAATGTTATTTGCTAAAAGAAAACTGTCCATCTAATAATCCTTTGATATAACGCCTTATCACGTCGTTGAGACGTCTCAAACGTCTCAAAGCACTTCACAGGATATGTGTATTTTGTGGGCAAAACGCAGCAGCCAATTACGCATAGCAGCGTCCCACAAACAGATCTAACAATTGACTAACGACCGGGTTCCTACTTACCGCTGGGCAAACAGAGGAGCGTGGAGTAAAGATACTTACCTAAGATTTCGCCCGCCTGGGAATCGAACCCGGGTCCTCTCGCTTGTGAGGCGAGTGCTCTAACCACTACGCTATGAACCATCATTCATTTTGTGCCACAGTCCATGAACAAAACCTCCAATGGTTGGGCCACAGGGCAAGAATTCTTACCTGTGAGAGTCTTGTCAGTGTTTTTACACCAACACCACCCTTATGCCCTTGAGACTATTTAATCTATTTGTTGAACGGGGAGAAACATTACGTTTAAAAACAGGAATCCAAAGCGTGCCTTACAACTTGACAAAGGTCAAGAGACTCCACCCAGCCAGAGCCTGTCAAACAGCTTAAGTGTTAAACATTTAAGGTTGGGCAGAAAGCATTGTGAAATATCCGTGAATTCAGTCTGAAATTAATTTCTAAAATATTTCTTTGAGCAAAACTTCCGAACGACACGAGGGCCACCCTCCAAGAATGAGACTGAATTTAGAAAGTTTCCAAACTCTTAGACATTTTAAAGACAAAATGGCATAGCGCAGGCTCAAACTAGGGGACATTTGGTATCTCCGGACTTTAGTTTAAGAAGCTCGATGCAAGATCTCTCTATCTGTAGCCATATCGCTACCTTATTCTGGGTCAACGCTATTGTGGTTTGCTGCTCTACCCTCCAGATTCCGCACAGCTGACTGAGTTGTTGTCTGTCCAAAAATGACAATTTACACATCGAATAAAGGCAATAACTCGGTACCTGTCTGCTGAGGCCCTCCAGGTCCATCTGCAGTGTTTGCAGGATTTGACGTTTTTCGTTCAGCTCCGCCTTGGCATTGTCGAGCGCTTGAGTGTTTTTCTGGACTTCAACCGTGGTGGTGTTCATCTGGACCGAGACGTAACATGTCTTTAAACTCTCACCCGCCTCGGCAGAAAGCGCTGGGAGACTTCAAAACAATTCTGGGAACGTGCACTTTCTCCCCTCTCTCCTTTCCTCCCTCCCTCCCCCTTCACCTCTTTCAATGTCCATCCCAAGACCGTCCTTTTTGACCATGTCTTTGGTCATCTTCCCCCTCCTCTCCCCCACTCCCCCTGATTCCCCTTCCCACCGGGTGCCGAGCCAGGATTGTCAATCGCTTTGGGATGTCCTCCCAACGTGAAATGCGCTGTACATCAATGGCGTATTGTATCGTGTACCACGGAATGATGTGGGTAAAAATTCCGTTCATCGCTACGCACAGCTCCTCCGGTGAGGTGATGCGCAGTTGTAGAGGGAAAAATCCCATTAATTTCAATTTTTTAAAATTAATTAACGGACGTACCTGCTCCTTGTACCAAGCCTCGGCGTCATCTCGGTTCTTCTTGGTCACCGCCTCGTATTTGGCCCTGATATCAGCCATGATGGCCGACAGGTCAACTCCTTCCACCGTGTCCACCTCCACTTCCACTTGGTCGTTGCGTGCCTGGGCCTTGATGATGTTGACTTCCTGTTGGCAAGCGACGCACAGAGGGTTTATTTCACTCCGTTTAAATCCCCACACTCCCCCTCCCGTCTTGTCGTCTTAAGATGGCGCAGTAGTTCGGAAAGGTTCGGAAGTGCTGCGTTGGTTTGGAAGCTGTTTTTCTCAGGGTGGGGGGGGGGGGGTTGGCGAGGGCGGGGGGATGGGGGTGGTTGGGGGAATAGGCATTTCCCCCAAATCCTTCACAACCATTACATTTTGTAACAGTAGCAGGTCAGTGAGCTATTCTGGGGCCAAGTCGAACGGGGATGCTTTGATAAGCGATAAGTTTAAGGATGGCAATCATTCTCGCGATTCTTGTGCAGGAAGTCAGCTAACCAGCCCCGTGCACGCACCGTGCTTGGGTACGCGCTGCGACGGCGTCATACACGAATCAGCGCTGCAACAGAGCGCTTTATAATGGGGGCCGCGCTGTGTGACTATTGCTACCACGTGGTCAGAAACCATCAAGCCTCGGGGGCTGAGTGTGGGAAGCACCGTCTCTTTACCTCTTGGTGGTTCTTCTTCAGGTACTGCAGCTCGTCCTTCAGCATTTCCACCTCGTTGGTCAGTGTCGCCGAGCTCATCTCGTACTCTCCCTTCACTTGGAGGAGACGGTCAATATCGGCCTCCACTGACTGGCGGATGACAGCTTCCCCCTGGAACCTAACATCAAATAACCCGGATACACATTAGGTTTACATTCCTTGGCATTAGGTGGTGATCAGGTGCTTTTTTTTTTGGGTGTGAGTATATATATATATAATAGTACGTGTATATGTATGCACATGTGTGTGTAAATGCATCCACATTTGTGTGTGTATGTGTGCACAGTGTGTGTGTGTGTGTATATATGTGTGTGTGGAAAGACAGCTCACACAGCACTTTAAACCAACTTATTTACATTTGTTATTTAAATACAGTACACACACACGCACACACACTGTATCCATTCATTTCTATGCAGATATCAAATCGAGGAATAAACACATTAAAAGACGTTTATCTGAAGGTTGAACTTTTCAAACGATGCTGACTTCGTTTTTAATTCAAATGGAATTTTTTTAAAAAAAATCTTATTTTAACCTAAGCGACAGTTCTTTAATTGGCAAACAACGGCAGGGAAGGATTATATTATACAAACTTCATTCTGAAGTCATCTGCGCTGAGCTTGGTGTTGTCAATCTCCAGCAGAAGCCTATTGTTGACCAGAGTCGCGTCCAGAATCTTTGAAAGAAAGACATGCAATAAATAAGTAAACAGATGACTGACTCAATAATGCGCGCACGTGTCCACAAAAGCACGGTCACTAACACTTTGCGGTGAGGCGCTTTGAGATGTCCTCCTGACCCGAAAGTCGCTGCATCGAACACGAGGATTATTGTTGGATATAAAGCGCCCGGCTCGTCAGAAATGTCCTCATTCGGTAATGATTGGTATCCGTGCGACGGTAGGTGGAAGCAACAGCCAATTTGCAAACAGCAAATATCTTGCAAAACAAGAGGCGAGGCGAACAGTCAATATTATCCGAAGAGGTGAATTGTGAATAAACTAGTTACTGTTTCCCCACCCCACGGTGACTAAGTGCACTTTGATCAATGGCTATCCGCAGGTCACGTCTTATTCTCGTCGGTTTTAACCATTGGCCTTTACCACACTTTCTCTCCTTTTGACAGCAATTTTCCGAAGAGGAAATCTACGTGAACGCGAGCACCTTTTGCTCCTTCCAGTGAAATTATATTCCATAAAACAAACGCAAGGATTATTATACGAAATACCAAATTCCCCCCCCCCCCCCCCCCCACTCTCCTTCATCCAGATTTTAAATCTATTTTCACATGAATTTGTGTGCAACCAAAATTTCAAACTATTTTACAATCAAAACAACTCTGGTTTTGAAACGATGCGGAAAGGGGAAGGATAAGATCGTGCAAACCCGTATTCCTCCCTTCCTAACGTGTTTTTAATTTTGCAGATATTTAGTTTTGAAATACACAGTCAATCCACTTTACAGTACATCCTCCCCTCCCCTCTCTGCCCTCCGCCTCTCCTGATCCCAATCCCTCCTGTTTCCTTACTCCGCACGCCCGATAATAATCCCTCAAGGGGAAAAAAAAAACAATAATAAATTGGTCGCTTCACGCTTCCACGGCTGTTTGTGGGGGACGCTGCTGTGCGCAATTGGCTGCCGCGTTTCGCCCACAAAATACACAGTCGAATCACTTTACGGTATATCCCGCAAAGCGCTTTGGGTCGTCCCCCTCGACGTGAAAAGCGCTGTATCAAATGCAAGGATTATTATCATTATTATCAAAGCGCTTTGAGACGTCTCGACGACGCGATTAAGGCGCTGTATCAAATGCAAGGATTATTATTAATATCATTATTATCACGGTCATCCGTACAGTGTTCTGGTACCTTTTTGCGCATCGATTGAGCTTCGGCTAACATGGGGCTCATGTCTCTTCTTTGTACTGCTTCTGAGCCAACAGCTGCTTGATCTTGACCTCCAGCTGTTCGTTGCTGGTCTGGAGGGAATGGACCATGTCCAGGTACTTGCTGAGCCGCTTGTTCAAGTCCTGCATGGTTTCCTTCTCATCTAAGCCGAGGGTACCGTTGGTGGCCGCGCTGAGCAGGTGATACGAGGAGGTGGTGGCCGTGGAGGGAAAGGACAGCTTCATAGCGGAGGCGCCGGAGAAACCTCTGCAGAGACCGCTGGAGGACTTGCTGGAGAAGCTCCTGACCTTGGACATCTTGAGTTTGGGGTTCGCTGCTGAGATGGGTGATGGGTGGGTGATGGTGATGGGTGGGTGATGATGATGGGTTGGTGGTGATGGTGGAGACTGGACTGGACTCTTCTCTCCCTCTCTCTTCTCTTCTCCTCTCCTCTCTTCTCCTCTCCTCTCCTGTTTTACCTGTGAAGCGGATCGAGAGGTCGGCGGTGAGCACCTGCGGAGCCCCACATGCCCTTATATACACACCTTTGCGCACCTGGAGTGAGGCTCTGGTGAGATTGATGGGTTGGCACCGCGGGCGCCGCGCCCACTCCCCTCCCCATCCCACCCCATCCCACCCCACCCCACCCCCGGCCATTAGATCACAGTGTGCGGGTGTGATCTAATAGGGAGTGGAGTGGAGTGGAGTGAGTGGTGTGTAGTGCAGTGGGAGTGGAGTGGATGGAGCGAGTTTCTTCCGTCTGCAAAATAAGGTGTGGGACCTCTCTCTCTCTCTCTCTCCCTCTCCCTCTCCCTCTCCCCGCGGGTCGGGCGTGTTTCCTCGGAACGCGCACCGCACCGACACCGCACCGACACCGCAGCGTCTGCGTGTGGCGAACAGGAGAGGGGTTCCCACGACGAGTGTTTTGTTGTCTACACTCGAGACCGAATCCCACGGACGCAGATACATTTATTCCCTTTGCAGCAGCAGAGCCGCGGCTTTCGAGGAGATCTCTGAACACGTTTTTTTTTTGATGCTGAAGCCGACACCGCCCCCCAACAGAGCTGTGTCCCCGGGGATAGCTTCATAATAATATTAATTATTAAAAATTATTAATAATAATAATAATAATCCTTGGATTCGAACGCAGCGCCTCGTCGCCCCCCGTACGAGACGTCTCGAAGCGCTTCGCCGATTGCGCTGCGAAGCGGACGGGCCGCGCGTTTCGCGGGCGAGACCCGGCGGCGCGCGGCGGCGCGGCGGCGGCCGGCGGTCGGCGGTCGGCGGTCGGCGGTCGGCGTCCCCCCTGCAAACGTCCCGTGGATCGAGTGACCCAATTTCGTTCTTTCGAAGGGATGGTTACCCCCCCACCTCCCCCCCCCCCACCCCCACCCCCCCACTCCGGAAAAGCGATCCACCGGGTTCCTACTCACTGCTAAGTAAACAGAGAGGCGCGGAATAAGGAAACTCGCCTAAAAGGTGGCGTCCTGCCTGGGAAACTAGTAAATAAATGAACGCAGCCGCTCGCACTCTTCACCGTCTCCGGATGCCTGTCTGAGATTACATCATGTGTTACACGGGATTATACATTATCTTAATCTGTCAGTTTCTGGAACAGACGCAAGCTTTGGAGTCCGGTAGCTTAGTGGTTAAAGCACTCGTCTCGCAAGCGAGAGGAGCCGGGATCAATTCCCACGCAGGGTGAAGCATTGGGCATGTTTCCTCACTCCGCACTCTGTTTACCTAACGATCGGCATATCGCTTTTCCGGGCGTAATCCTTCAAATGATAATCATTTGATCACTCGATTCATGACTGTTCGTGGGACACTGCGTTCGTCCCCGATATATAGAGTCAATTCCCTTTACAGTATATTCTGTGAAACACTTTGAGACTTGATAAGGCATTACATCAATTTTGCATTGAGTGGGCGCTGACTCAGTCTGAGGTTACCTCACTCTCTGTGCTTGCTCAGCATCTCTCCCGGAGCACAGAGAGAGAAGCTGAATAACTCTGATGTAATGTTTCCCCTTTACACAGCATTCCTGGGATACTGGGTACCATATATCAGGGCACCTTCACTTCTTAAGATCCCAATCCCACCCCTATCACTAAAAAGTTTAATCCTTTACCTTTATTATAACAGTGGGTAAGTTGGAAGGTAGACAATGGATACAGGTTAGATGTTTTGTACTCATTATACAATCATTTGAATCATTTGTAACACATGATATGCCTGGGAATGTCTTGATTATGTCTCCACGGAGGGTGTGGAGACTTTTAACAAGTTGGAGCACATGAAATGGGAAACCACTGTACCTGGAATTGATTAAAATTCCCTCCCCTCTCAAGATTGGGGGGAATCTCAGATTTTTTTTTCTTTAGTAATATACTTTTGGGTTTGCTCATGATACTGCCTTGAGCAATTTTACTTTGACTCAGCGTTATGTCATATCGTAAGTGCATCAGAAGATTGCATTCGAGCTTAGGCTGACTTCATTTGTGGCCTTCTCACCTCTGGGTCAGAAAGTTGGATCGAGCCCCATGTGGGACTTAATCTAAGATGTCCACCCCCCCCCCCCCCCCAATGCAGCACTGGAGTGGGTGGGGGGGCCTTGCATTGTCGGAGGTGCTGTTTAGGTGGATGTTAAAGCACTATTCGAAAAGAGATGGGAGTTTCTCTCTACCGGTGTCCTGGCCAACAATTCCTCAAATACAATTGGTCACTCACTCCATGGCTGTCAGTAGGACATTGTTGTGCACAAATTGTGTGCTGCACTTACTTACAAAATACATAGTCACTACACTTTACAGCAAATCCTAAGCAGCTCTTAGAGACATTGCAATGACGTGATATCACATGCAAGGATTATTATTATCTAAGGCTTGTCTGGCATCCTTCTCAAGTGTTTTGTTGCTAGGTTCCTGCGATTTATTTGGAATTAGCAGCAGTCTGAACTTAACATAATGAAGCAGAGCAAAAAGTATATGAGAAGGTACTATACATCTGAGAAAGAGGTGCAGTCAGGGTGGGTACAAAACAGGCTTTGAATATCTTAGCATTAATTCCCAAATTGATAGTTCAAAGACATTTGCTGGACTTAGTAATTAAAATGATTGTAACTCTTTGGCATGTAAGTACTTTATGCAACTGACAACAGCTATTAAAATGACTATAAGGCGTATATATAAGTAGCCAACAATGCTTGCAGTGACCTCAACACTTGAATAGCATAATTGATCTGTAAAACAGCTTTTATTGATCTGTGATCAATTGACTGTGAAGATGATGCTTGTTAGAATATTTTTGAATGTAGAATTGATGCCCCTTTGAATCCTCAGCCTTTGTAAAGCCAGTTGAGAGCATTCTAATGAAAAGGTGCAATTAAATAAGTGCAAATTCTTCTTGTTGTTGTTGTTTCAAGGCAAAGTGTTGTGCGAGCTCAGAGTGAAAAAAATATTCAGGGAATTGAAATGGCCGGGGTGGAGACGAAGTTCTAAAGAAAAGGGGTGGTGAAATTAGGAAATCAGGAGCTGGGGAGTGGTTAAGTCTTTTTGAAGGTTTACAAAACATAAGAACATAAGAACATAAGAATTAGGAGCAGGAGTACACCATTCAGCCCCTCGAGCCTGCCCCGCCATTCAATAAGATCATGGCTGATCTTCTGACCTAACTTTTACCTGCTCTATCCCCATAATCCCTAATCCCTCTATTTTTTTAAAAATCTATCAGTCTCAGCCTTGAAGATATAATAATAATAATAATCCTTGCATTTGATATAGCGCTTTTCACGTCGGGAGGACGTCCCAAAGCGCTTCACAGAACACACTGTAAAGTGAATCAACTGTATATTTGTGGGCGAACGCGGCAGCCAATTGCGCACAGCAGTGTCCCACAAACAGTCGTAGATTGAAAATGACCAATTTAATTATTGTTTTTGGTTTTGGAGGGATTATTATTAGGCTCTGTGTGGAGTAAGGAAACTTGCCCGAGGTTTCGCCCTCTGCCTGGAATTGAACTCAGGTCTCTCACTTGCAAAGCGAGTGCTCTAACCACTGAGCTACAGGACTCCGATGTCCTTGAACACAAGATGTTCAAGGACTGAGCATCTACAGCCTTCTGGAGGAGTGAATTCCACAAATTCACTACTCTCTGAGTGAAGAAATGTTTCCTCAACTCTGTTCTAAAAGACTGACCCTTAATTTTAAGACTGTGACCCTGGTTATAGATTGTCCTACCAGGGGAAACAGTCCCTCAGCGTCTACTTTATCAGCCCTTTAAGAATCTTATATGTTTCAATAAGATCTCCCCTAATTCTTCTTGGTTCTCCTTTGTTGATCCTTAAAGTTCTCCCAATCCTCAGGTTTACTACTCACCCCAATTACAAACAAGTTTTGAATGCAGGAGATTGACTGAAACATTTCTTCACTCAGAGAGTAGTGAATTTGTGGAGTCCTGTAGCTCAGTGGTTAGAGCACTCGCTTTGCAAGTGAGAGACCTGAGTTCAATTCCAGGCAGGGCGAAACCTTGGGCAAGTTTCCTTACTCCACACACCTAATAATAATCCCTCCAAAAAACCAAAAACAATAATTAAATTGGTCATTTTTCAATCTACGACTGTTTGTGGGACATTGCTGTGCGCAATTGGCTGCCGCGTTCGCCCACAAATATACAGTCAATTCACTTTACAGTGTGTTCTGTGAAGCGCTTTGGGACGTCCTCCCGACGTGAAAAGCGCTATATCAAATGCAAGGATTATTATTATTATTATTATTATGAGTAAGTGCAGCCATTGAGTACCAAAGCGAAGAAAAAAATCTGTAACGGCAACTGCATTTCAGCTCACACAACACCCTGCCTTGAAACAACAACAACGATGTGCACTTATTTAATAGCACCTTTCACGAAGAGAGAGCAACAACAACTTGCATTTACACAGCGTGGGGTAGCGTCCCGGAGCGCTTGACAGTGGCGGAGACTGACAACGAACCAGGGAGAGAGAGTTGGGGGAGGTGACCGTAAGCACGACCAAAAACAAAGGTCTTTAGGCGGGATTTGAAGGTGGGGAGGGATTGATGGAGTTAATAATAATAATCCTTGCATTTGATATAGCGCTTTTCACGTCTTCTCGAAGTCTCAAAGTGCTTCACAGAATAGACAGTAAAGTGGATTGACTGTATTTTTTTTNTGGGCGAAACGCGGCAGCCAATTGCGCACAGCGGTGAGTGTCCCACAAACAGTCGTGGATTGAAAATGACCAATTTTATTATTGTTTTATTTTGGAGGGATTATTCTTAGGCGTGTGGAGCAAGGAAACTTGCCCAAGGTTTCGCCCTGCCTGGAATTGAACCCAGGTGTCTCGCTTGCAAGGCAAGTGCTCTAACCACTGAGCTA